TAACAAGTAAACTCCTCCCCTCCTCCTTTCCCTTCGCCTCACCTCCAAGTGGGGTGAAGGGAAAAGGGAGGGGAGAGAAAGGGAATCCAGGGCTGCTTCTGCCTGACGGGCCAGCGTACCGGCCCCTCTGACAGGCAGAAGCGCCTGGGATCCATTCCTTCCCCCCCTCCTTTCCCATTGCCTCACCTCCAAGCGGGCGAAGGTAAAGGGAGGGGGAGGGAATCCAGGGCTGCTTCTGCCTGACAGAAGTTTAAAGATTCAAAACAAAGTTGAAAGCTATTTTCATAGGATGATGGTGGGGCTGGGGACAGATTGTCCAATTCCTAAAAACAGAGATGCCAGAAGATCCTGAGATGGGGAGTTCTGCCATCTGCTCCTTGCCATTTCCACAGGAAAGGCACTTTTTGCATGTTCAGAAGTCACTGAATATCCATCTGTTTGAAAAAGGAAAATGGATGCAGATGGAGGTGATGATGCTAGATCAGTGTGGCTAAAGGCAAGGGTATGAGTCACATAAGAGCAAAAGAAAGAAGCAAAAGATTTTCTGCTGTACAGAAATGAGGTGACATCAGTATAAACACTGTGAGTTCTACAAGCTATATGACTGAGTAGCCGTAAAGTTTCATTCTTGTTACCATAATGTATCTACTGCGATAGTCTACCAGTTTGTTATATGGTTATTCTGTTTCACCATTGGTGGCAGGAAACTTTGGAGGGGGAGAGAAATGAGAAATGCCTCCTTTGTTATACAAGGGTATGTACAATTGTCTGAAAAGGGGCATTAAATTTTCATTTTCCTTATATAGAGTAACGTTTAAATACTTGACACAATGAGTCTAGTATGCATGTGAAAATGAGCATACAGTATGGCAGCCACTTCCTCTACTTACAGGTGAGGTTTGAACACTAAATAAACCATGCTTTCTTCTGAGTGGTCTTGTAGGTCAAGGAAAGTTAAAAATCTCTCTAGCTTGGAAGTTAACGTTTGCTCTCACTTCCTTGTTAGGTAGGCCAACATAGCATTCCTATGCTTTTCGGAGTTTTCATGAGTTTGGATAAGATGGGGGTTTTGCCAGTCATCAAACCCTTCAGTAGCTAAAGCTGTGGAAGAAGATGCAAGGTTTGGAAAGAGTTAACAAACAAAGCAATAAATCCGGCCTTTTGAGGGAGAATATAGAAGCCACTCGCGGCTATACGTTTCCCCATTTGCTTTTGTTGAATAAAAAAGAGCTTTTGTGCAAAACCTGGACTGTTTTTTGTACACTCGCTTGGAATTTGAAAGTGGTCCACAATGATGCAGAACTTGAGAGGGACCCACTCTCTACCCAATAGGATACTTCCTCATGTGATAATTCTGACCACAAACCAACATCTGTTACAGTAGATTTATGTTTGGCATTATCTTTATCTGCATCTGGAATACCTTGGACTTGGCCTATCTTACCAGGTCTGAACTGCAAAATCTGTGGCTCTTTAGCCTCTCCCTGTCCAGTAAGTGACTCTTGAATTAGTTCTATATTTTCAGTTTGAGCCAGCATCATGGCTGCTTCCTCATAATCAGCTTGCTGTTTCATATCCTGCTTCGCTGTTTCTCTTTCAGGGAGGTTTTTGTCAGGTTGCATGCTAGTAGTTGGCTCAGGCTGGATAGCTTCACTGCTGGCTCTTGTTGCTTCAATGAGTGATTGGTTTTAACTTCATTACTGTAGCATTTTCAAGTCTCTGTCTCTTGTGCTTGCTAGCACCACTTTCAAATCTTTTATTCGTGCTCAGATTAGAATCTAAAAATAAAAAGTAAAATTAATCTTCAACTGGATAAACACATGGATCAGAGGTCCATCAGTGGCTATTGGCACAAGGTATAGATGGTTGCTACTGAAGGGTTACAGAATTCAGTTTTCCACTGTGGTGAAACAGGCACCCACTCTCAGCCCTGGGGGACTGAGTAGCCGGTTTGTGGCTCGTGAGCCCCGCTTTGCCTTCCCATCTCCTTGGTGGGTTTCTGTCACTCTTCAGTAGCTGCCACCACTCACTGACTTCCCTGTGTCTTTCTTGAGGGGCAGTGAGACCCCTCTGGCTGACTTCTGGGGTTTGGAGATGAAAACCCCTAACTTTGGGTTTCTCCTGGAGGGCTTTTGGGGGGGGCTTTTTCCCTCCCAGGACCCTTCTTAAGGCACTAGTAGTGGGCAGAGCGGGGGAGACTCCGTGGTCAGAGCACCAGACTGGGGTTTTAAACAAAGAACAAAGATTTTATTGACTATTTACAAGTAACAGGATTTTAAACACAAAAAGGCACTTTAAATCAAACACAGAAAGGAAAACATCACCGGGCACAAATAAAATAAGACAAAACGCAGTTCCTCTATCCCTATACTTATTTTCCTTCGGGATGAGGTTCAGTTACCAACCTGCAGCCTGGCCTCCTGCCTTCTACAGGTAGTTCTGGATCCCTCTGAGAATCCCTTCCCACTGCTGCCTTCCCTGATCCCTAAAGCCTCTCTCTTCCTGTGGGCAATATGCAGCAAGAGCCTCCTGGCCTCTCTGAGCCCTCCCAGGCTGGCTGGAGCATTTATATCTTCTGATTCCACCTCCCTGGCTTTCCCACACTTTTTGGCCATAGAAGCATCTGGGATTTGTAGGCCTACCCTGGAGTTTTGCCCTACTTCCCAGGGTGGGTGGCCATTTTAACAAAACTAAACAACCTAAACTAAAGCAAACACAAGATGGAGTCTATTCTGTCACATCCAACAAGCCAACCCTATAGCACAACATCATTTTGCAATCTAAACATTTTCAAAAGTTTACAAACTCCCAAAATTGCCAAAAAGATTCAAAATAATTTTTTCCAAGACACTTGCAATTAGGAGGCTTGGAAATGATGCAAAAACATAGGTTAATAATTAACTATGATTTCTCATCTAATAATTCCAGCAGCAGCAAACACCAGGCTCCCATCCAACAATCAATACTAGCCATTTAAAAGAGCCAACTGCCAAAAAAAAGTTATATAAAATAAATATGTAAAGCTTTGATTAGATTCTGCAATGGCTTTAGAACAATTAATCTACTATTAATATATGAAGCAATATTTCTTTTCATATCCAAGAAGTTCTGAGAAAGGGGTTGCAAGTGCATGCTGCAGGCACCGACAGGGCTCTGTGAAGTGTGAAAGATAAACTTCCCTGCCTGGGAGGGGTGAGGCCAGTGCCAGTCACATGTGCTTGCTCTGTTCAAGCCAAGGAGGAGGGAAGGAATGGAAGGGACTTGGGAGAGCTTGGTTGCCTGGTCTATCTGCCCCAGCCGGCCCCCTACTCGCACTCTCCCATTGATTAAAGTGCAGCACATACCACTACTGACCTGACCCTTGAGCTGAGGAAGGCTGTGCAGCTGGTTGTTGACTGTGGGCTGCTGGCGGTTGTTGACTCTGGGCTGCTGGCTCTGGAGTCCTGGAGTCTGTACTCGGAATAGTGGCACCAGGGACCTAGAAAGGGCAGGGCTTGCCAGTCCAACCCCTGCACAGTCTCACCATGGGCTGCTCCTAAGGGCCCCCCCACACCAGGGCAATCTAGATGGATTTTATTTATATCTCTAAGACTCTGCAGACTTTGGCTGTGAACTGGGGCCCCACAACAAATTTTCCAGTTAGGCCCCAGAGTTTCAAATTGGTTCCCACTGGCTGGCCCTGAGTCTCATAGTTG